AGAAAATATCAATATGAACATTGGTTCCTACTTTTCACTAAAATTAGAACAATTATACATGTTCCTATTTTTTAAGTGCTTAGATATTATTGGCTTTCATAACATTATGAGTTCCTCTACACATTATTGTATATATATATAAGCCACACAATGTTTGCGGTTTATAGTTGGTTGAGAAGTTACATTTGTAATCATTAAAATGTTCAGACTCATATTGACTAGGTATTTTTTTTAAAAAAATAAAAGATACTATAGATCACATATATATTAGGGAAGGGAGATCTACGATATATCTTTAGAAATTTATATATATATATATATAACAAATTGCGTCAATAAAATATATTCATTAAAAAATAAAATATATTCATTAACAATAATAGTTATTTAGGATTTGCTAAAAAAAGAAAGCCCCTAAACATTTTATTAAACAAGACAAAACATCACATGTTTCCAAACAAATTAAATCTAACTCCTTTCTAGATAATGAAGAGATCATAGATAATTGTTTATAGGAATGTATTAAATATTATGTATTTTAAAAGCTAACAAATAGATTAGAAAAATTATCTAAGCAACACTGATGAGATAAGTTATGGATAAACAATACTTATGAAATGACAAGTGTCATCTGGCTGATATTCTGCCATTTTATATATTTTTTTCAAACATAATTTATAGTACATGCCCGCGCATCGCGCGGGCTACCTTCCTAGTTTAATTAAAACGTTTCTACGGTTTCACTGTGTTCAAGCCTTCTTCAGCCAATGACCTGTTTGTTCTTAGCGAACACCTTTTACAAATACCCGTCAGTTCTCAATACATGATCAGTATCAGGGACATTGTAAATTTCCTTTTCTTTTGCGAGCCAGTGAGTGTCAATTCTTTTATGTCTGTAATTTGCCCAGTTCAAAAACGGGGCTACCATTTGAATTTCTTTTGCTTTCGTATAATCAGTAATTCAGCCAAATAAAACTTGACAGAGCTATCATCTATGGAGAAGTATTAGAACGTGGATCACTATTATCCAGACAAGACATGCTAGTGAACAGGAGGCAAAACTTACTAGCATGACCAAGACTACTAACTCTTTTCTCAGTCAGACTTCAAAATGGGAAACAAAACTGACTAAATCGATCACCATTAGTGAACTCTTTTTCTTGCTAAAATTGCCTATAAGAAGAAATCACTTCAAGCTGTCAGCTCTGCAGGAAGCCAGAAGCATCAGGTTCATGTAAGCGGATGGATCATTCGGTCCTCATGGCGGCGACAATCTGCCTCTAAGAATGATCTGAAAACATGATGAAACTTGTAAATTACCCAAGCATTCACACCAACCAGGAGGGAATTTCCGAGTATTAATTTGCAAGATTAGATGTAGGACTTGTGCTTCATCAGCAAAGAGTATTAACAATCTCCTAGTAATCTATCTACCAAATGTTGGCAGACGAGACAATTGTGATGATAAGGTGCAAAGTTAGTGCTAACTCAATGCACATTTGACTAATTAAAAGCAAATCGTAACTAATCAAGCAAGCACAGAAGCTGTTCAGGTTTAAAACTAATCGCAAACTAATCACTTCATTCAGAACCAACAATTGTAACAGAACATTCCCCGAAAAACAGATGAACACGGAAAGGGATGGCTAGCTGCTCGTACCTGGAGTGCAGAAGCTCAAGTAGGGAAATGCAGCGACGATTGCGCTCCTCCTCGACACCTTCTTGGGTGGTCGACTTGATCCCAGCTCAACGGTGAACACGCCATCGTGCGTCCTGACGACAATGACGCCGTCGGCGAAGCCAATCAACAAATTACTCATCCGGGAGAATGGATCGTGGAGGTGCACACCCACCGTGTACGGAAGCAGATGCTCGAGGTCCCTGACATGTTTGAGGTGCTTCCATTGATTCGTGGCCTCCTCCTTGGACCATTGGTGGAGCGTCCTGGACTGCTTCAGGATGGCGGCGAACCCGAGCCCGCCGCCCTCCGCCGTGACGAGGAGAGCGCCGCACACTTCCTCATGCCCAGGCCCAGCGAGCGGCGGCGAGGGGATCACCGACAGCGTCATCGTGGCCATGTCGAACTCGACGATGCTGGTGTTGTTGTCGCAGAGGAAGTAGAGGCGCGCGTTCCCGACGAGGACGCTGGGCCTCCTCGCCTGGACGCGGGCGTTGGGGTGGTGATCGATGGAGGTCGGGTCGCTCCACGCGTAGGTCTCCGACGAGTAGACGGCGGCGTGCGTGGCTCCCCCGGCGACGTCGGTGCCCACCAGCGCGACGCGGTAGGCGCGGCCGTGGCAGTCGTGGTGGCCGCAGCCGTCCACGGCGCACAGCACCGCGGCGCTCCACTTGATGTTCGCTCAGAGCTGCGGCGCGCACAGCGGGCGCTCCATGCCGGTGATGGGGTCCAACACGAGGAGCTGCAGGGGTGGCTGGGTGATGAAGAGGGCGCGTCCGTGGCGGGAGTCGCACGGGATCAGCCAGCCGTCGCCGCCGCCGCCGCCGCGGTCGGGGATGATCGGGCGGAAGGAGGTGGTGCGGACGAAGCTGGAGAAGGGGCCAGTCAACGCCTTCTCCTCGCAGAAGAAGCCCAGGATCGGAGGCGCTAGGTGGAGGGCGTGGTAGCGGCTGAGGAAGATGCGGCCGCTGAGGAGGCGGCGCCACGGCTTGCAGACGGCGGAGACGCGGACGAGGATTGCGGGGTCGTCCGGCGGGATGCGGGAGAAGATCTCGGCGAGCACGTCGTCTCTCAGTTCCGGAGGCGGGCGGCTCTCCGTCTGCTGCGGCGGCGGCGGATTCATGGCGCTCGCGCTGCTCGTGCTCGGCCTCGGCGTCGTGTTGGGTTTTGGCCGTTTGGGTGGAGGCGAGCGCGCGGTGGGGATGAAGACGAAGGCGAACGAGGCACAGAGTAGTTTTTATACTAGTTAGTTGGGTATGGGGCCCAGATGTCAGTGGAACATTTGAAGCTTGAACTTGTCGAATGCACATTTCGGTTATTGCAGGTGATTTTTAGATTCAGATGAAGTTATCTTGATTTGCTTAACCTTGTTCACCTTCACAATCCACATTGATTCTCCAAATTCTTGAACTGCGATACTTCAACAGTATACGTGTTACTACCTTTCAGTCCGATGTTGCACTTGCAAGAACAATTCCGCATTGGCAATTTGGCAGTTCAATCTTTACAGATTTTTTTACTTGGGTGCTTTCCCAATGTTTATAATTTATTTAAACGGTGGTGGTTCCTTTGTATGATTGCATCTTGAACGACAAGAGAAATACTCCATCCGTTTCAAAATAGACCAATCTCGTACAGAATGTGACATACCATATTATAGCCATACTTCAAATTCATAGTAATAAAATATATCACATCTCATACGAGAATAGTTTATTTTAGGACAGAGGGAATATATGAATGCGGAATGGATGAGGTGACAGATGACACATAGAGAACGCTAATCTCTCCCAACATGTTCCTCCCAATTTGCTCGCCATCTCAAAAAATATCCTGTCTAAAGCTGCTTTTTCCTCCCGACACGTAATACATATAAAGAATTACCGTATGATTAATTAAATATTAGCTTATAAAATCTAAAAATAGATTAATATGAATTCTAAAATAACTTTTCTAATATAAATGCTATTTTTGAAAAAAAACCACACCGTGTAACTGTTTAGTGAGCGTAGGTGTGAAAAACAAAAGACAAAAAATTGAGAGTGTCCATTTGAGTGTTCAAACCAGGAATAAGTTCACCGGAGGTCATTCAATTTAACAGCGAGATTTTTTAAGGTCCTTTAACCATAAAAAACTCACACAAACCGTACAATCAAGGGCCTATGGCAGTATATATGGGTGGTTTCGCTGACGTGACATCCTAGTCAGCGATCTGGGCCCACATGTAAATGAGATGAATAAAAATGTGGGTATGTGGTGGCAAGCGGCTGGAGCATGCAGGCGGAGCAGTGGCTGTCGCGCGAAGCGGGGGTGGCGGCGAGCGAGCACCGAGAGGTCACCGGCGGCAGAGGGGGGAGCGACGGCTGGCGAGCGCGGCAGTGGGCGGTAGGGAGCGGCTGGAACAGGCATGTGGAGCGACGGAGAGCGGAGCGAGGGCGGCGACGGGTGAGGTCTCGCACGAGGATGCCGAGGTCGAGGTCGACGTCGTCCGTGGTGCCGCCGCCTCTGTCTGCGTCGGGACATGGTGTAGGAGGTTGATGAAGATGGCTCGAGGAGGAGGGGACGCGACAGTGGTGAGGTGGTTTCGGTGGAGAGCACCAGGGAGCCGGGCGGCCGCCAACTAGTCCGGAGGTCGGTGAGGAAGGCGGCGATTGGCCATGGAGGCCGTGGAGTGGGCCCGCGGCCCACTCGACGGATTAAGTGGGTGGTGGAGTCGGAGGGGACTCGGCATGGTTGGGAGCTCATCTGTAGGGGAGGGAGGGCGTCGACGAGGGAGCAAGCGGGCGAGTGCGAGACGGCCGGCGGAGCGGCGACAGGCGAGCTCGCGACCAGTGGAGCTAAGCAGCAACGTTAGGGGAGCGAAGCATTGGCGGTGGCGAGCGCACGGGCGTCAAAGTGGAACGGAGCGGCAATGGTGGCGGCGGGCGAGCTCGTGGCCGACGGAGTGGAGAGGGCGGCGGTCGCGCCATCTCGTGTGGCGTTGAGAAGATTGGAGAGGAGAAGAGAAGAGAGAAAAGAAAAGGGAAAGGAAAGCAAGAAATAAGATATGTGGGCCCCATATTTTATTTAATATTTTTTCTGACTAGGATGCCACGCTATCGAAACCACTCATATATATTATCATAGGACCTTAATTACACGGTTTGTGTGGGTTTATGTGTATCCATTTCTGGTTTTGTGGTTAAGGGACTTTAAAAATTCTCGTGGTTAAGTTGAGGGACCTCGGGTGAACTTATTCCTCCAAATAAAACGTTGCCTTTAGTTTGGCCCATCAAGTCGTCAAAACCGCTCGTAAGCCCAGTTTGGAGTAACGCCCACGTCACGCTCGCGGCTCACCGGCTCGCCGCCGCCGCCGCCGAACACAACGACACGACACACGAGTCCCCACTCCTTTCTCCCTCCTCGACGACGTCCTCCCTCCGGCCAAGTGACACCGCAGCTCACCTCACCTCACCTCACCGCCGAGGTCCACCATGTCAGCAGCGCGGCGGCTCGCACCCGCGCTCCGCCGCCGCCGCCGCCGCAGCCTCTGTTCCTCCTCCTCCGCCGGCTCGCCGGCCGCCGCGGCCCCGACCGCCGCGTCGCTCCTCGCCGAGCTCCTCTCCGACCCGGCCCCCTCCGCGTCCGCCCTCGCCCTCCTCCGAGACACGCCCTCACTCTCCGCGCCGCTCTACTCCCTCCTCGCCGCGCCATCCCACGAGCTCACCCGCGCCTCGCTCGCGCTCCTCCTCGCCCTCCCCGCCCGCCACCGCGTCCCGCCGCCCTCCGCGCCGCTCCTGTCCGCGATCCTGTCCAAGCTCCTCGCGCGCTTCTCGTCGCCCGAGCCCGCCGCGCGGTTCCTCGCCGCCTCCCTCGCCGCTGGCGCCCCCGCGCCGGATGTCTTCGCCTTCAACTCCATCCTCGCGGCGCTCGCTCGCGTCCGCGACGTCCCCGGCATGGCGCGGATCTACGCCTTGATGCAGGGTTGTGCCTCCGTCCGGCCCGACGTCGTCACCTACGGCATTCTCGTCAACGGCCTCTGCAAGGCCGGCCGTGTTGGGGACGCGCTCAGGGTGCTCGATGGAATGTCTCGCCAGGATTTAGATATCCGGCCAGATGTCGTGACGTTGAACACCGTTGTAGATGGTCTGTGCAAGAGCGGCCGGGTCCAGGAGGCTCTCGCGTTCGTGGAGCAGCGGATGAGTAGCGTGCATGGGTGTCCTCCTAATACTGTCACTTACAACTGCTTGATTGATGCATTCTGCCGCGTGGGGAATATTTCAATGGCCTATGAGTTGGTAGAGAAGATGGAGAATGAGGGTGTGCCACAAAACATTGTCACCCTCAACACGATTGTTGGTGGCTTGTGCCGGGCTGGGAGAACCGGAGCTGCACTGGAGTTCTTCAGGGAGAAAAGAACTGTGTGGCCAGAAGGCAAGGGCAATGCAGTGACCTACAGCACTTTGGTTGGGGCTCTCCTCCACACCAACAATGTTGGTATGGCCATGGAATTGTTCCATGAGAAGATGAGTGAAGGGCATTCACCAGATGCGATCATGTATTTCACTATGATATCAGGATTGACACAAGCAGGCCGACTGGAGGATGCTTGCTCTATGGCTTCATCGATGAAGGAGGCAGGCTTTAAGCTGGACACAAAGGCATACAACATTTTGATTGCTGGATTTTGCAGGAAGAAGAGGTTGCATGAGGCTTATGAACTTCTTCAGGAAATGAAGGAGGTTGGTATTCGGCCAGATGTGTGCACCTATAATACTTTGTTGTCTGGTTCATGCAAGGCAGGGGATTTCGCGGCTGTGGATGAATTATTGGGGAAGATGATCGATGATGGTTGCCAGCCTTCTGTTATAACTTTTGGTACACTTGTACATGGGTATTGCAAAGTTGGCAAAATTGATGAGGCATTGAGAATTTTAAGATCTATGGATGAATCTGGTATTCATCCCAACAATGTGATATATAATACTCTCATTGACTTCCTCTGCAAGAGAGGAGATGTTGATTTAGCCATTGAGCTGTTCGATGAGATGAAGGAGAAGAGTGTGCCAGCAAATGTAACGACCTTTAATGCTCTATTGAAGGGGCTTCGTGATAAGAACATGCCAGAAAAGGCTTTCGAACTTATGGACCAAATGAGGGAAGAGAGGTGCTTTCCTGATTATGTGACCGTGGATGTTCTCATGGAATGGTTACCTGTCATTGGTGAAACAGACCGATTAAAGCGTTTCATGCAGCAAGGGGAGCATACTGCATCCAAAAGGATAGTTTCTGACAGAACCTCAGCTTAGTAGGCATGGTGAAATAACTTCATATGTTGAGGCATTGTGATTATAACATCGAATGATGAAAAGTTACATATGCAGATCGTGAGTTGTTCAAAGTTGTTGAAATGTACCTTTTCACAATTTAACTGAACTAAGAGATGAATTTAATGTGGCAGAGTGGCAGATGATGACTAAAGGGTGCAATTTTTCATGGAGGACAATTGATCTTGGAGCAATGCAGTTAATCAGCTAATTGATCTGCCTTGGGTATTGTGGTGAGTTGTCATAGAAACATATTCAATGAAGTGTATCAACCCTCACCTTTGAAGAAATTGTATGCCCAGAAAATGGGGCTTCTGAAATGTTTCATTATTCTAGAGTTTTCTTCTTTGTTTGTACTAATTTTAATATCTGAATAGATTACATTTTGCTCTAGGCAGATTGTTTTAGCTTTCACTTTGCAACAGGTTTAGCAGAAACTTTCACTTTGCACAAGAGGACCCTTGACACCAGCCCAACCCTTTAGGCCTGACAATCTCTCCATGCTGGCAGACCAGTCCACATTGCTTCGAAGTTTAGTTCATCCAGGAATATTCTGTTTTGCATCTTGTGAGTTTGTGACTTAGTTCGCAGAGCGTTATGAGCCCACACACCCTTTCCTCTTGGATTAACTTGTCCCTTTTGTCAATCATCTGGTGCTGATCTTGAACCTACCTCACATAGAGCTACAAGGCAACAACTGCCAAGGCAAGCTCTGTGTGGCTGAGGATGGTGAGTGCTCGAGCTGGTTTTGGGAGACACAGTGGCTAGGCGGAATTTTACATCTTCCAGCAAAGAACAGTTTAGTTGAATCCTTGATTTGTGCATTAGGAGTCATAGAGAACAATTGTTTTTCTATTTGAGGATTAAGGGTGTTAATATCTTGAATTTGGATTATGGCTATCTTGTTTTGGGAACCTAACCAATTTGTGGAGCTAGTCAGGAATTCAAATTGATCCGTTTAGATTGAAATACTTGCAGCTATCACAGATGATATTTTTCTTCAGTTGGAAACAACTTGGTTTGGATAGAAAATGAGTTAGCAATGTAGAACTAAAAAGTTCATCATTAACAACTTTGCATGACCAGCTCTACCATCTGCCATCATTCTGTGTGCAAGGAGCTTCAGGAGAAAGAAAGGCGGTGCTGAATAGACAACAAGCAGGTTCGACTGAACCCAGTAATGGTGGAAGGGTATTACCGAGGAGTTGTGGACTGGTATGCCAGCATAGCGAGCCAACGTGGAAACTTTGATTGTACTGTTTGGACTTGGACCTGAATGATTACGATGGTGTTGATTGAAAAAAAATAGATTTGCTGTGCTGCAAAGTGAATGCTTTTGGTAAAAACTGGTCCAAAATGAAACTTAAATCAATCTACCTAGTTCAAAGTACAATTTACTTTTAATATTTCAATGTGAGCACAATTTGTTTTAACTATATTGCTTTAGATATGGCAAGCTATTACTTTGCTCTTCTGGCTATGAGACAAGACATTGTTTGCAATATGAAGATGTGCTCAGCCTGATATTATCCTTGCTTGACAATTTCATAGGGTGATAGGGCCCTATGACTTCCTGATCAATAAGTTGAATGCAGTGAAGAAAAGGGTACCACTCTGTTGTAAAAAATGGCTTCACAGTTACAACCCTATAAGGCGCGCTCCATTGCTCATCACCTTGGTAAGTTTGAATTTGTATCTACCTTTTCAGTTTAAATTTTATTGACAGAAAATGTGCGTGCAAACAAGATTAATTTCTGTAGTTATACCATGATGATTCCTACTTAGTTCATCATCTACAGGCAACTGGATGCTCTGAACACTGCTAAGATTCAAGTTCCAATAATGTTAGGTCTACTTTATGACATCTGAAAGAGTAATTGCCGTACAATCATGAAACTGAAGGAGGCAATCAAGAAAAGATCTTCATTTTATTTAATCTCCGAAGGGTGACTTTTACAGTGCAGTGTTGTGTTTGTCTAAGTGGAGTATATATATATATACTTCTGGTACAAGCAACACTTTGTAGGAGGTGAAGTACCGTAAACAAAGACTCACGTGGACATCTCAATTCTCAAATGAATTATTATCTAATGCCTTAACCTAGCAAATGTCAATTCATCGGCCAGAAAGGGCTGCTATCCTTGAAGGCTTGAAGCAACACTTGCATGCTGTGCACAGCACTGATTTAAGTGATTGAACACTGTATCTCATGTTCAGATGCATGCGGTGGAACTAAATTATTTTCTGTGGCAGCTGAAAACTGAGAGTGAACTCCAGTGAAGCAGTAACATTTCAACAAGAGGGGCTGGCGGTGGTATACTTTGATGTACACATTTTAAATTGATGACAGCCATGCACGACTTGCTTCCGCCCTGTCTTTGTGCCATTACTACAAAGTCACAAGTTACTAACTATCAGCTACCATACCTGTATGGAAGCCAATAACAACCTGTATGGAAGCCAATAACAACCAAACTGGCATGATTTTGGCAACCTGTTTCCCTACCCTTGTCGGTGCTGAAGCAATCTCATTGTCAATGAGGTGTGCATGTTTTATCCTTACAATCATGAAATCCCAGAAAAGAAAAGAGAGTAAGCAGCATTAATTAATCTGCGGACTTTTTCTGTATTACCTGTTTTGCAGGGAGGTGAAAATTCGGAAATGGAAGCCGTCCATCCTGGAAATGAAGCTGGAATGAGACGGTCAACTGTAACAACGACACAGTCTCAACCAGGATATTTTTCCCTGTGCCGAGCTGCTTGATTGATACTCTTTAGTCCAGTATTTCTCTCTGTAGAAAATGCTTAAAATTGTTGCTCTTCCTGCGACCTGCTCTCCATCACCAAGTCAAATTGTCCAGCCATGCAGCACTGGGAGCATTGAAATCCATGGCGGGCAGGCAGAGATCGAGTTGTACAAGTCACAATAATCTCTCCCCTTGTCTAACTAAAGTATAAACCCTGAAGTGGTCGTAGGTTTGCTTTATGGCTTCAACGTGTCACAAGGGGCTAATGGTAGGTCAAATATCATCCACGTACACAGTAATTGCAGTAATTTTCTCATGTATAATTATAGTTTTAAAACCAGTACTACTGATAATTAACTGGTACCTATATATGCATTGTCAGATATCGTGCTTCTATCAAACTCTAGCCAGTTTCAAAAATAAACAACACAAAAGTTTTTGTCAACCAAGCTAGCTGGTGCGCAGTTTAATTTGACTTTGGAGTACTTTCTTGGAAATCAGCATGGGATTTTGACTTTGCATGAACACCAGGGCGCAAAAGAATTCCACCCGAAGAACAAGCGTGCGTGCTGCTTGAATATGCAAATTGAGAAGTAGAGATCATAATTCCAAGTTTTTGACCATTGCGAACGAACACTAGTACTAGACCAAAGTACACATGACCAAATTAAGTACGGACTAATTAAATCCCGTGGAATTTTCAAGTCAAACTAGACCCCAAATCTGCCTTGCCTCTCAAGTCGGACACATTCACCTGGTCAGAACACATCTTCTTCCTCTTGCCAATTAATTCCTCTCCAAGAACCAAGTACTATACTTATATACTTCAAACAATAATGCTAGTCCAATATTAATTAATCGGTCATACATTCCGAGAAATTTATTTTTTATATCAGCCATCTTCTTGACTAAACCGGCTGTCTGCTCATCCATTCAACATGGAGCCTTGCACACCTTGCTGATCGATCGATTTGCTGGTCAAATTAAACGATGCGCATCCACGTTTGACGTCGCATCACAAGATCGAGCCGGTTTTAATTTGTTTGTTACCGATGGCCGCTAAAAAGGAAACAAATCCGATCCGCCGTTGCGGGAAATCGAATTGAATTTCGCTCGCGTGCAAAAGTAATTTGGTGCGAGCAAGCTAGCGTTCGCGGATTCGCGCGCGCGGCGGCGACTTTTCCGCGTGAAAACGCGACGACGACGGAATTGAAGGTGAATTAGGGGCTCAAAAACCAGGTCGCCGCACGCAACCCGCCATGCAACTTCGCTCGCGAAACAATGCCCCTCTCGCCTCTTCCTAGCTCCCTCTCGCATTATATATAGGCGTCTCGACCCGTTCCATCTCTCTAGCTTAATTAATCAGCTTAATTGCCATATACACACACACACTTACTCTGCAACGCTGCATTGCTATCTGCAAGCAAGAACACACAGAGGAGAGAAGAGAAGAGAGAGGAAGCTAATTAATTAAGCTAAGCTAAGCTAGCAAGGTTGGTTGGTTGGTCGCCGTCGTTGGCCATGGCCATGGCGAGCACGAGGATGATGATCGTCAGGAGGTGGGCGCCGGTGATCGCCGTGGCGGCGGCGCTGGTGGTGCTGTCGGTGCTCGGCACGGCGGCGGAGGCGGCGAGGCCGTTGGTAGACGGAGGAGTGGACGGCTGGGTGGCCGCCGGCGGCGGCGGCGGCGCGGCGGCGTCCATCGTGGAGACGCTGAGGAGGCTGTACCTGCAGCAGCTGGGCGGGCCGGGCGCGTCGTGCGGGACCAACAGCCCCAACAACGGCTGCCCGCCGTAGGATCGTGACACGTGGCGCAATCCGGGCCGTCCATGTGTAGCATGCATGCATGCATGCAACCATTCTCCGGGTTGATGATTTTTTTTTTCTTAGGCCTCTGACTGACCTTTTGGGGATCAGAATTCAGAATATTCTTTGATTGATTTTCTTTGTGATTTTTGCCCACATTTTAAGTGAAGTATATGGTGGGGATGACAATATCTACAGAAGAATAAACAAATGTATACACTATAATACACAGACACACAGTATATATAGGGACTATGGTTTTGAATAAAAAGTTATGTAGGATTAATTAAGTAATCTTACAAACTTATGTAATTCGATGAGCTTATGTACATCAAGTAAATGGTTGTTTAATTATACTCGTTTCCTCCCCGATGAATTATGCTTGTTTTTTTTCCCCTTTTATTGAGAAGAAATGATAAAACACATGAACGCACGCATGTCGGTATGAAGCGATATGATAGGACGTGTGTGTGTGCGTCAGAGCATCTATGCTGCATGTGCTTGTATGTCGTCGTGGTTATCTATTGGTCAAAGTGTCAAAACAAAACAAGAGCTGATATATATTCCTTCATGGGCCATAGCGTATTAATACATGGCCGGCCCATAAGTGATTACAAAGCCTGAAGCTGGAATATGACATCACCCATGGCTTCACCTTAATTATGGGGGAAAAGAATACCGAAGGTCCCTCAACTTGTCATCGAGTTACAAACTCGTCCCTCAACCGCAAAACCAGATATATAACATCCCTCTCAACTTACAAAACCGTTCACTTTAGATCCTTCGGTGGTTTTGAACTCGGTTTCGTCTAACGTGGCTGTTGAGTCAGCGTGGGACCCACGTGGGCCCCACATGTCACAATGCCAAGTCATCTCTCTTCCCCCTTCTCTCCCTTCCTCCTCTCTCTATCTCACTTTTCTCCTGCTGCAACTTGCAAGGCGGCTGGTTGTTGATGAAAAACACGAGGCCTGGGAGATCTATTTAACTCCAGTGCAGGTCCAAAGCTCGCCTTCGGGTATGCTAGCGTGCCAGTTGATTTGATCCTGCAATCAACAAGAAATAGAGACAAAGAAATCATGGTTAAATTCATAAATGATAGCCGATCGGCTAAGTGCCGATGACATATCATTTATCTTCGAGCCGATGTCATATGTAAATCGATCGGCGGTTGTAAATAGATAATTAAGAACTAAATCTACTCGATCGGCTGTAGATATTAACAATATATAATTCTCATATCGATATATACCTAAATCAAGTGATTGGGATAGATCGGTCGCCATGCCGACACAGTATAAATCACTTAGATCGAAATATATATATTAATAATAGGACTAATGTTTATAGCATAGCCGATCAGATAGATCTAGCATATATCGGCTAATACTCCGATACTACTCTATATCAAGATATTAAAACAGGTATAATATACCAAACAGAGGCTTAATATACGTAAATGCAATAAGATCTTGACATAAAGGGCAGACTTAACATGTCAATGGAGCATATAGAACAAATATAGTTAAATCAGATAAGATCGGCTGAAACTCCGATGCTACCCTAATCGGCAACCAGAAGGCAGGCTAGAGATTGATATTCTAAGCACGACTTAATAGATCAAACTCAACTGATGCAGCATTAAGTATGAAAAGAAGAACAATATCTAGACAATCAAGCCGCTGGAAGTTTCATAGAGTGGTAGATATCTTATATGATCTGAGTCAACGTCAAAATCTAACCTAATCGGCTGCCCTCTTCGACAGACGTTAGCCGATTGTAGGTTAGATAACGGTGTTGCCAGAGATTATATAAGATATATGATAACTCGACGAATTACATAGACAAGATTAGAGTATCATAAAGATGGAAGCACTAATCCAGAGAACGCAAGCCGCCATAACAAGTTTTACCTCTTGTTAAAGATCGAAATCGATGCAGCTCAACCCGAAAGCAAGAACTCGTCGAAATAAAACTAAAGCAAAAGAGTGGCGATGCGCCGAAATTGTATTGACGTGTGTGTTACCTGATTACATGGGGATCGGGATCTATTTATACCCGAAAATTACACACAATGTCCATATCGGACATGACTCTTATCTCTAACAAACTCTAAGATACCATTAGTCTTTACGGCAGACTTTTGCCCAAGTATATCTCTAAGGAAATTACATAAAATATCCTAATTAGTAGATACAATTGCCTTTTCAGGACTCTATCCATGCGTGGCAATCATCTTGAAGCATCTCAATTCAACTCGATGTCATACACCAAGTCGTATTGTCGGAATCGGCTGCATCGGCTTACCTAGTCCGACCCAAACCTAGCCGATCCTAATCGTAGCCGATCTGGACTCCAGCCAATTCCTGCTCTGTTCTCGAATCGATCTCCGCCTTCGACTCCACTTCGATCTAATCTTCTTTTCCGATGCCGATATTACCAAATTTGGTTGTTAACACATGCCCCCAAGTCCGGAATATTATGTAATGTTTCGGATTTGCTGTATATCAACCCCAAGTGATTCTCGCACTTTGCCGTTTTCCGACCGTTACCCCTGTGCTTTAAATACTAACCATCGCCCTCGAGAACTCCTCACCTCGTTACTTTCCGTTTTCACCGCTAAAGCCAACCTGCTCCTTTCTTTCTCCGGCGATTCCTCCGACGCTCGAGGCGATCCCCAGGCGATTTCGTCTTCGATCAAATCTCCGCCCGCGGTGATGTCATCTTCCGCCAGCCCGTCTGTCACGCCATCGGCCGAATACGCTGAGGTAAGTTCTCATTGGCTAGATCCCTTTTCCTCGCATGAAATCGATTTCCCCTTTTCTCATCGTGTTTTCTTCTTCCCGATCCCTTTGGATTTGCTGCACCTTTCCAACCTAGTCGCGATTCCCAGTCTGTCGCATGAAAACCACTACTTTCTTGGCCCAATCGGCAATCTTGACCCCACTGATTTCATCATCGGTGAAACCAACAGAATTCCCTTTAGATTAGCCAACCCTAATCTGGGTCACTGGAAGAATACTTTCAAGTCTTGGCCATCTCTTGAGAAACCCACCCCTGAGAAGAGTTGGACCACCTGGTACCAGGGCGTATCGGCTAGTAAGAAAGTTCACTGGGATGAGATTGGGATCGGCCAAGCGCTTGCTCTCACCATAGCCAATTCTGCTAAGGGCGAACCTCTGATGACTGCTGCCACCTATTTCTGGTCCAATACCATCAATGCATTTATGTTCAATCAAGGGCCGATGACTCCGACTTTGATCGACATCACCATGATCACTGGATTAGATGTAACTTCATCGGCTAACCCTATGAGTATGAACACCAAGAACCAATTTGACTTCAGGACCAAAAGCATAGGAGGGTGGTCTGGCTATGTAGCGGCATACATGGGCAAAGGGCCTGTCACTCCTCGGGAGCATGTAGCTTTCTTGCTAATGTGGCTAGAAAAGTTTCTCTTCTGTGGATCCAGCTGTGGTCCTACAACCAATTGGCAATTTGTAGCCGAAGCCCTAGAATCAAAGAGACAATTTCCTTTGGGCAAAATCCTTCTCGGCTATCTATACCAAATGTTGAATAGTGCATCAGCCAAGATAGCTGTCGACTCTATAGTTGGAGCAGGTGGACCATGGTGGCTACTGCAGGCTTGGCTAAATCTAATGGTCATGAAAGTTGTCAATCGGCCAGCTGTAACAGAAGCCGAATTCCCAAGGTTGGAGCCAATTGTAGAAGATGATGGAGAAGAGCGCACCCATCGCAGATGCATGTCATATGAAGAATATGCATCCACACCAGCCGATGCAGGGGCAAAACTATCGGCTGAGCTGCTCAAAGATTGGTTCTGCAGCTTTTATGAAGGCTTCCAAAAAGATGCCCGGGTTTGGTTTCCTTATGAAGACTCAGCAGACCTTGAGCTCCTATCAGACTTTAGATTTGAAGATATCAACCATGAAAGATATCAAAAGTCCAGGGAAGTCTTTACAGCTGCAATCAGCCCATGCATCTTACCTGTCGGCATCCACCAAGGAAGAAATATCTAAGTCTCCTACGAATTCTATCACCCTGTGAGTTCAGCTCGACAACTTAGATTAGGTCAACTCCCAATCGGCTTATTCTTTGCTAACAAGATCCAATGCCGAGGAGAAATTTCTTCAACTCTAATGATGGATCGACTGCTTAATCTCCAAGGACCTCCTCTAGGCAGTATTGAAAATATTGAGTTAGCAGGATTCAAGAGCAAAAACTTTGACAGATGGTGGGGTGAATGGAAACTGCATCTATTTCATCAATCGGCATCAATGTACATGACATATCTATTCCCTGATGTCGTACCCAAGGTAAACTTTGTCATTTATAATTTATATGATTGTCAGCCGATTCATTACTTGATCAATTTTGCTTCTGTTTTGCAGACAATCGACTCTTCTCCTCCACATCAGAGCAACAACGGCAGAGATATTGAATATGCTCCAGGTCTGATTCCCAATGGAGGCAGACTGTCTCTCTCTGTCATCGGCTATCATGCCCCCAAGGTCTCAACCCTCGTCCAAGGCATAATCAGGGAACCAACCGATGCAGCCAAGAAAAGAAAAACCAGATCATCGGCTGTAGGCACTTTGACTCTAGCTCCAAAGAAAAAGGCCAAGTCTAAGAAATCCAAGCCAACCGATGACATGCCTGCCTTGGATCCATCCATTGAACAAGCTCTGGATGAAGGAGATATTGAGGATGATGTTGATCAGGCTACAGCCGAAGTAAGCGATACTGAAAAAACGCCATCGGCTTCGCCTAAGCAGACACCTCCAACTCTTTCTGCCCCCACTCATTTCTTAAGAGTAAGCAACTTTCTTTGCAACCCCTTTTGTAATTATTACTTTTCAGCTGATTACTCATAGACTTTGTAGCTGCAGAAGAACAAAACTGTTGTAAAGAAGAAATTGGCAGCACCAATTCTCAAACCAGCTCCACTAGTAAGATACTCTCAATTTTACTAGTTGATTCCAGCCGATTTTGTCTAACACTTGTCTCTTTTACAACCTCCTCCTCCTCCTTCTTCCCCTGTACAACAATCATCGAGTGACCAAACCCCATCGGCTGTGGGGAGTCATCATGTTGTGGAAGAAGAACAACCAGCTGCTCCTACTATCCCAGTAAGTTTCCCTTTGATGCAAGAATTTAGATCGGCTGTATCTACTATCCCAGTAAGTTTCCCTTTGATGCAAGAATTTAGATCGGCTGTACCTACCTAACTCTCAATCTTCCTGAAATTGTCTGCAGATTTTAGCCGATCTCTTCTCTTTTGACATAAGAGATTATCTTGATGAGGCAGAAGAAGATACTTCAAGCAAAGCTTTAGCTCCCTTATCCGATGATGTGAAG